TCTGATACTAGTTTCCCTCTAATCATGGAATATATTACGAAAGCATTAATAAGCTTCCAAAGAGAGTAGAGAGGTTTCTTTGTTATTTATTGTGACACTGGCACATGCTGAGAAAACAGGGCAGGGTTGTAGTTTCTTTGGAAGATGTGAGCCAGCAGCAGCAGGGTCAAGTTTTCCCTTCAGCAAGCCGTTTTCAGGGACATAACCACACTATCTGTAGTCCGCAGAGCCCCAGTGATGACATGCTATCAGTAGTAAAATATTATAATCTGGCTATAAGATTAATAATTACAGTAGTTATGAATGGGAATGAAGGTTATTACGGACAATTAAGTTGTGGCCTTAAGTTGATAAGCCTTGAGTTAATAAGCTATGGCCACATTATAACTAAATTATGCCTATATCTTTATATTGCATATTTACTGAGCACACTGGGTTAGATCTGCACAGTTATTATGAAAGATGAGGCCTGGATAAATTTCAAAAATGGTGTAGAGAAGAAGAGTTAGGGGGGAAAAAAAGCAGCATTCAAACTGTAAAAACTGGCAAGTAAGCACAAGTTCTAATAATTATATTGATCGCTTCTAATTATTATTACTATTATTATTATTATTGCAGTCATTTGTACATCTCATAAACTCATATTTTGTTGACAGTACAACATAGAAAGCAGAGATGTTAGCTGATTTTTGGATTTGATGGCAAAACGTTTCAAATGATTGGGACTGGGGAAACAAAAGTCTGGAAAAGTTAGTGATGCTAACAAGAAACAGTTGAGGGAAGATTTGTTCTGTGGTCAGTCAAACGTGGACACCCCATCATCCAGAAAGAGAAAAGGGATGGTACCGCTTGTCATTAGCTCTCAGTTCAAAAGCCCACATTTCTCATGGTACGGGTGGGCATTAGTGCCTATAGAACGGGCAGCTTACACTTCTGGAAACGCAGCATCAGTAAAATATATACAGGTTTTGTGACATCTTTTTCATAGAAGGCCTTTCATATTTCAGCAAGACGCTGCTAATTCAGATAGTACATCTATTCAAACAGCATAGCTTCATCTAGTCCAGCTGCACAACTGGGCTGCCTGTGGTCCAGACCTTTCACCACATTAAAATATTTGGAGTATCATGACATCATTACAAATAAGACTGTTAAAAGAAGACAGGATGCTACACAGTGGTAAACATGGCCCTGTTACTGCCATCAAATTCAAAGTGACCTTGTTTTTTTCTTTTGCATTTTAAACATTTAATATGTTTTGTGTCTTATTGAGAATAAAACACTGCATTCTTTTTACAGCTTGGGAATTTGGGTTGTAACTTCATGACATCAGTAACATGACTAACACTGTCTCTAGTACATCCATGAACATCTGCTTATATGCATATCTGTCTGCTGATTTTTAATGGTTATTGTGGTTCTTAATTTTTTTTCTTTATCGTGACAACTTTTTGACATGATCCCTAAGGTGGGTTGTTTTGGATTGTGTGTTGTTTTGAGAATTGGATTCTTGTGTGATCTTATTTTGGATCCCTGTCTCAGTCTCATTGCTGCATTGCTGTTCAGTTTTTGTGATGTCATTACCACTGGTTTCTCTCTTGAGTTTATTTTCCTTTGCTTTGTACTTTCAGATCTTTTTCTCATCTGTTCAATTCTAACATCTGGCACCTGTAGGCTGTGTGGAGTTTTTTTTAGGTATACTCTTTCACAGCCCTGACCTGCCAAAATAACAGTTTCTGTGTTGAAGCTCCTCAGGATTGCACTGCATAGCTTAAAGTCTGTGTCAAGCTGAAGCCTCGTGTACAGACTTCAATAACTGTCTGTTAGAATAATCTCACAACATGATAACTATTCAAAGATCTCATTAAAACTCCTGCCAGTGTTAAATAAACGTTGATTAAATCTTCTGTTTATCCTTTGTGTAATAAAAGCTTTATGAAGCCTGTCCTGTGTGGTCAGTAAACAGATTTTATATGTGGTCTACCATTATTAGGATCCTAATTTAGTTATCACTTTCCCACATCTTATGAACTTGCAGCCATGGAATATTATTATATCCACCCATGTCATGGTGGAGCTCTGTAGATAGTAGATGTGATAATTTTCCACAAAATATCTTATTGAAGAGGAAGCTAGGTTGAAAAATGTGACCTCCATAAGCAAGGAGGGAGTATAAAGGCTAGATAGAG